AATACGGTTTGTCAGTTGAACATATTTTAACTAAATAATTTGTAAATTTTGTCAAAATTTGAGCTTTAAACAGTATGAAAAAAAATGCGTCAATGAATTTTTAATATTTTCAAACTGTTGTTATATCAAGTTATGGGGGCTTTGTATTAAATTGTCAAGTTTTTAGACCCAACAAATAAAATGTTATTAACATTTATAGAATACAAAATCAAAAATTTCAGTAGTCTATAAATAACTTAAGAAGATTTTAAATATTTTGAAGATATTAACATGTATAGAAAATGAACGTTTTCCTTAATTTTTGTTTGTTTATCTTACCGATTGTAAAACTATTGAATTTTTGATTTTTGGCCCCCCAAAGTATCAACTAGATTCACATTCCTACCACGAAAGATACGGTTAAAGAAAATCGAAGCATATTTACTGCCCTAAAATGTGATGACTGTGAAAAAAAGCACACACATCATTRTACAATCAATACATTCACTGCTGCACTAAAAAATTAAAACTTCTATTTATGATTTATTAACGTTTGAAAAAATAACTAATTATAAAAAAAAGATAACCACAGCAAATAGTATAATATATTATGAAATAGAATTGAYTAGTTTACTCTATGAATAGTATTAGATATTAAATTTGACAACCTATAAGTAGTGGGTTTTTATTTTTTTATTTCATTGGTCATGGCCGTTTTTTTTTTTTTGCTGCATTAGTGTGTACTCAGCCGAAGCCTAATAGTAAAGCTAACAACATAACATTAGTTGTGCAATGTCCTAAACGGCTAAACATAATATTGACATGTTACGCCGCCGTAATGGCCGGAGAGAAAACAAAATACAATGTGACATGTGTAGACAAAAATAACTTATTACTTAGATATCAATTTGGATTCATAAAAAATAGACATAATGATAAGAATATAAATGAATAAAAATCATTAACAATCACCGATTAAACCGGAAAGTTGGACGTTCGGCGATATTTATACTTAATTCTTTACCCGCTTGGTGCCTAGTCGATACTCGCGCTATGTCACTATGTTAGTAGGTATATTCGTTTATCGTGTATAATATCATTGATGTTTCGTTATTTTTACGCTGTATTGCTGCAACGTCTTACTAGATAGATCGTCGCATACTTGAAACCTGAATCATTGATTGAATTCGGAAATGATATTGACTTTTTTGGCATAGGTATTTGTATATTGCATTGYCACAATTGTTGAGCTTAAAAAAACTTAAAATTATGGCGATGACGAATGATTTATCTATTTGAAATATTTTAAATGATAGTTTAAATTGTGCGTTGTATTATCACTTAAAGAGCAGCTTTAATGTTCAATCCAACGCTATTATTTGTGAGCAGCTTTGAAATTTTTGGAAGTTTTAATGTAAGTACCTATGTTATTTTTAATTTAACAATATAATTATCATTTGTATAGGTAATTAAGTACTTACCAGCCAATTTAGATTTATAAATGTACCTTTGTATCATCTATTATTTATATCAGTGGACAGGGGTGATTACACGAGACTTGCGACCCACATGCGGCTCTTCAGTTAGTCTTGTACAGCTCTTGACACCAAGCTTAGAGTAAAATTAAGTAAAATATAATTTCTTGATGTGTACTTGAACAATTATGTTCTGTGTAGGGTAGAAAATAAATGTCCTTTCATTAGTTACAAAATTAAAAATATSTTTTCATTTAATTAACTATTTTATACACATCTCTTAACAATGCGGCTCGCTTCAATTTAGCTTCATAAATTTGTGGCTCTCATAGTTTTAAGATTAGTGGGAAACCCTTATATATACTATCATCTATGTATCTTATTATTATTTTTTTTTTTAATTGTACTTATTTAAATTTTTAAGAGTCATGAAACAGTTAAGTTGCATATTTAATGCTAAAATAATTAACTAAATTATGTACCCCCAAATAATTAATTGTATTTTATTTGATAAGACAAAAAAATTTTTAATTGATAATTTTTTATGTGATATTGTTTATTTTCTAAAAAGAAATAGTCTTGGTGATTGCTGACTATCGATAGAAATAATCCAAGTTCTTTTATAAAAATTAAAACTTGAATAATTTTGTAATAAATTATAAATTATATAATTGAACTGTAGTCAAAGATGAAACGGTATACAAAAAAATATACCATAGGTACTTCAATATATATTTTATATTGGCACATCTGAATATTGCATTAGATTATATGTGTTACATATTAACTATCAAGAGTTGATATTCTCTTCTATTGTGTTTCTCAATATTATGTAGTGTTTTGTTGATAATTATTTACAAAAAACTGAGAATATTAATACTGATTCTATCTTAAAAATTTATAATATTTGAAAAAAAWGTTATTTTATACAATTATTTTTAATTTTAATGAAATTACTAGTTGACCCCATGGACTTTGTTGCCCATTAAAAATGGTTTATATGTATCAAATAAATTAGATGATAAAACTTTTATTTGATAAAATTATTTTACTGTCGTTTAATTTTTTTTTTTTTTTTTTTTTTGCTGGACATGTGGTGCTACTGTTGTATTTCCATTTTCTAGTAGATTTTCCTAAAATTTTCTTTCACAATAACATTAATTCAATATGAACACATCAAAAACCAATCAGCCAAATCAATCATGCATTTTTAAAGCTAACCTGTAGCAGAAATTTCCATTTCATTTTACATGWTTAAAATATATTATTAACGATGGAAGGGTTTTGATTATCTTATGGGTGAAGAAGAAGGGGTATACCATGTACATTTGATTGTTTAAGAACATTTACATTTTTTGCTAGGGGGTAGCTTTTTATATTTGACTTTAGAGCTTCAAATGTCTAGTTGCTCAGTACAAGTAATAGACAGTGTACTACATTTTATTCTTTTACTATCTGCGCGACATTATTGAATCCCAACCATCCGTTATTCATTTAACCATGGATATTTAGTTATTTTTTAGTGAAAAAAAAATGTATGAAAATGGTTTATCAACATTAAATCAGTCCTAAAAATATATTTTATAGCTATTATTCAGATTTCAAAGTTTACTCACACAATAGCTTACTTAGTATGTATGCGAATTAACTTACAATTTATTAAATCCTTAAACACCCATCTCATTTAGAACCAGTTACAAATAAATAATTGGCAGTTTATTGATTCATACTCAGTTTTGATTTTTAAATCGTATTTAAGATTTCTTGACTACATTCAATAATAATAAAGAAAAAGCGGATGTGTAACAGAAAAAATAGATTAAATTCTGAAACATTCTATTTAACAMTATTACAGACTTTCTCTGTTTATTCCATACTAAGATTCACCTATATCATCCCTTTTACGGTAATTTTCAAGTGCCTCTAAACAAGCATTTTCAATTAGTAAATCATTTAAATCTGTATTCTATGAATATTAAAAATTACATTATAAATGATTTTTGAGAAAAAATTAAGATTAGAAGTGTACACTTTAAACATTGTATTGAAATTTTATATCTGTTATCGGTATAGACTAATAAAAATTTGATTGAAAACCAAGGTCATTGATTGTTTACTTAATCAATCCCAAGGTGAATAATTAATTACGTGCTTCTAGAGCATAGATAATAAAAGAATGGATAGGCCTTAGATCATTTACTTAGTATATGATCTAAGGGATAGGCCAATCCTATATTAACAACATAGGGGTTTGCGGGCCGGAATGTGGATGAAAGACAGATTGCTTTTTAATTTTTTATATAGTGCTCTCACTTTAGAAGGGGGTATTATCATTTATTTTATAGCAATTTTGATATTTTTATACTGATAAAACCCCTTGTAACCTCATTGTTCATGCCCGTGCGATAAGGCCTGATGGCCTATCCATTCKGGTCTGTCTATATGCAGTCGATTAGACTATATAAAATGAAGAAATGTGCAATTTTTATTTAGTGATATTAAATTTTAAAATTGATTAGGTTTGATTTTCTATTTTTTTTTTCTGTACTCTTTAAAATTTATTTTAATTGATTATACGACAAYATATTTTTATATAAACATTAATTGCTAATATATAGGTATATATGTCAAAATAATAATCTTTATTTAGCTTCCATTTTAGAATTTTTTATTATTTTTATTAACGTAGCCCTCTAAAATTTAAAATTGTTATGGCTCCTTAAAGTGTAGAGTTTTTTTTTACCATAAAATCGTTAAAAATAATAGAGTTTATCTTCTGAACTATTAAATAAAATAAAATTGTTGTTTGATAACTTATTTTGTGTAATAATAATTAATTTTATTATTATTCAAATACTGACCTTTCAATTTTGAGAATCGAAAATAATAAAAAAAAATTTTTTTGTTGATTTATGCATTTGAAATAGGCAACAAAATAAATGTACATTAAAAATTCATGATCCACAGTTTAAGAAGCACTGTTATAGATTACCAATATTATTTATTTGTGTAGTAGGTATATACCCTCAATATAATATCTATTGTAAAACCAAATATATTTTCTGAATAATTCAAAGTTATAATGAAATTATTGGTTCTTAGTAGATAGGTAGGTAAATATTTATAATATTAACATTTCTGAATACCTAAGTCCAAGTATAATATAATATGAAGAGATTAAACTATAAACAATTAAATAAAAAATAATTTACATAATATTAATTAATGATTATAAATTTTAAAATTGTACTTCTTATTTATTCTTTGTTACGCGTCAAAAGATTATATAGCATTACTAGGCTCACCAAAAATCATTGGTTCCCTGCTTGGATTATTTGTCATAGCCATAATTTGTGGTAAAATACATCTCATGTCGATGTCCGTAGATGATTGATATGGGTATGGTGTTTGTAAAAGTGGAGCATGAATAGCTGATGTGAAAGTATTAATGTCTGTATGTTGTTTTCTAGGATCTCTGGAAACAATTTCTTGGGGTGTCACTGATGATCTGACAGTAGTTGCACTAACAATTGCAGGGCTATTTTGAATAAACGTAAGATTTCTTGCTGCTTTTATACCATGTCTATGCCGTGGATCGTCAATTCTGATCTATATAAAATACATAAGTTTGGATAAATAATTCAACTAAAGCAATATTAATTTTGTCTACCATAGGTGTAATTTTAGAGTAGTCAAGTACAGGAACTTCAATTGGTATCATATGATACTTCATTGGCAGATGATTATCAATAGAAGCGTTTATCTCAGTAGCTGTTGTAATGGGAAATGTATATGTTAGTTGTCTTAAATCTATATCTTCTTTACCCAATTCTATGGCACAACTATATCTATACTTAGGACTAATTGGAAATTCTTTAACGCTATTTATTCTGCAATAAAAAAATGTTAATATATATTAAACAAAACAAACAAGTAATAATTATTTTTGATTAAGGTATTACAAATTAAATATAAAATATTGAACAAATTAACTTAAGACATTTGGTATGAACATATGCATATACAAATTATGCACTTTATAATAATAGACAGAGTAAATAAAACTAGCTTGGTTGTGTAGTGTGGTGAGTAAGTTGTATCACCCTGATGTATTATAATAATAATAAATAGTATTATTCAATAAGTTACTGTAATACATGTTTATTCATAATTTGTTTGAAACTTGTAAGAGTTACTCACATTTACCTTGAGAATTACTACCATTTTCTGCCTATTAGTTTTTGTTTATGGAAATGGACTAAATTTATTTTCTACAATATTATTTTTGCCAAGCAAAAATTTAATGATTTTACAATGATGTGTTTTAGTCGCAAAAAATGCTCTATTCATCAATTTTCTTGAAGCAAATTGGATCTAATTAATAATTTTCATTGTTTATTCTTAAAAAACTTTCAGAGTGTAGACTGTAATACTCTCAATCTATACTACTAAGTACAGGTATTTTATGATATTATTACCATTAAAATAATTTATTTTACCATTAGTAATACAGTAAGTGTTATTATATTACAGTAATATTTGTTGAAAAATTTCTATTTAAAAAAATCATTGTGTAAAAATATACCTWATGCTTTAAAAATTTCAGTATTGATGAATAATACTTTTAAATTACAACAAAATAACTAAGTCGTTAATTTTTGTTAAAATATCTAATTTTATCTAAAGATTTATTTTCTAGATTAAAGTATGAACAACTTGTGAGAAACCTTAWAYCTATTAAATATTCAGACTTTGGCTAGATAAATAATAATTTCCCTTGATCAAAAAACTTAAAATTTTAACATGAAGTTTTCCATAAGTAATTCATCTAGGAATAAAAAAATCTAAAAATGTATCCACTCAATTTTTAAAATTTGAATAAATTAGATCTTATCCAAAGAATATCAATTTTATTTATGTTGTTTAAAATTCAAAAATAAATATTGTATTTTATACACATTTTAATGCCATTTTGAAAATCAATATTATTGACAAAAGTTAATATAATGTACCTACTGTATTATCAATAATAAAATATACTATAATAATAGCATTAATATTATTATATAAGAGAATCATTTTTATAAGCAATTATTTATCAGTTAATTCATATTATTTAATAAACCCATACAGTTACTCATTTGATACCTGTATAGCAGAGCTGACGTACACACTTTTCTACCATTTTATTGTTTACTTTTTGACTCATTTGAAAACTATTTTTGACCCATCAAAGTACCAACTAAATTCATTTGTATACTAGAAAAAATGCTAAAGTAGAAAATCAAATCATTTTTCTGCTGGGCCGGCGCAATGGTGGGGGGCGGGCGAGCGGGGCCCTTGCCCGGCGCCTCGCGAATCGAAACTTGTATATAATAACATAAACCATTAATAATCAATACTAATAATAATTGATGTATTAAAGATAAGAATTTGTGTTATAATAAGATTATACATTTTTACGGGGATTTTAAAGATATTACCTATTATGGTCACCGGTTTAAAGAAACTGTCACGGCACCGTTTCCCTGTTCGCTCGGCCGTCGATCGATATTAGATAGTGYTAATTTATTTTTCAGACGAAAAAGTTTAGTAATCTAGTCATAGGCGGCTCCAGGAATGAATCTCAGGTGCAGCCATATGTTAAAATTTAAAGGGGGGARGAAGGCTTGAAACTTCTACAAATTAAATTTTTTTTACAGAAAAAAGAAATACTAATAATTAGTTATCGTTATACCTTACATGATACGCAGTATATATATTTATTTACTGTGAGAGTACCCAAGGTTTAGAGGCATTGGCAGAATTTCCGATGAAAATTGTAATTTGTATGTTACAATGTTATATTTTATTTCCATTTGCTAATTATTATATAACCCCATGGTAAAATTTTTGCGGCAGTGGCTGCACCCGTAAAACCGCCTATGAATCTAGTATGAAATTCTATCAGAAGTCGATGTTGTAAGAGCTTGCAAAACATAAATACTATGCATCTGGATTTATCCACTAATTTGCTAAATGGACTACTAATATTTTTTCTATACCTAGGTGTAATTTAAAAAAAAGGAAATTTAGATCTTACTCATCTTGTATAGTTATTTYGAAATCATTAGGCATTTCTAATGGATAAGGTTGAATTTCTATAGTTGATATATTAACAAGTGGTTTTATACTCGGGAGCTTAGCCAAAACATGGCTATTGGCTTCATAACGATGAACCTGTAAAATTATAAAATATAAAATATTYAATTGYTAAATATAATAATGCTACGTTGTACTTTAAGAAATTACATAATGTGTTGCATCTTATACTTGTATTAGTAAATTAAGTTATAAATATTTTTATTTGTTAGAATATACTATATTTAATAAAAAAATATACATACATCTTCCACTTTTGATGAATTTGACTTAGGGGAAGACCATTGTGGTGACAGTTCTTTTTCATTTTGTAAAATATTCAATGCATTATTCATAGAATTAGAAACTGAATATTCTGAAATATCACTTGAATAATGTTTTTCTTGAGTAAAACTGTCTTCACTCATATCTATTTCATTATACTGTAAATGATATTTCAATCAATAAATTCGTAAAAGTTATTATGGTGATAAAATATTTTTGTGTTATTAATCCAAATATTTTTACATTGTTTAACAATATAATGTTAAAAATCGTTTATATGTATATATAATATATATATATATATATGATATTAAACATAAAAAAAATTGTATAATTTTGTTTTTGATAAACCAAATATTACATTTACCTTTTTTTGATGGCTTTGAATTCGATTGAAAAGCTGTTTTTGTTTATCTGGCAGCAATTCAAATTGAGAATTGTCATCATTTTCAGATTTTCCCTCATCAATAACAAGATCTAAAATTAATTTAAATAACAAATAATAAAGCCATACGTTTTGTGTTCCCATTTAGAATTTTAATACAATTACATTATTTATCAATAAAATAAGAGTAAGTATCAATTATTATAACTATTCAGTAAAAATAAATAATTTAATGTTTGTACTTGCCGTTTCCTTCGTTATCATCATATAGATCATCAAATGAAGGATGAAATATATTTTGCATGAACAATTCATCTATATATGGTCTGTTTTTTTCTTCATTTGTCTCTTTCTGTCTTTCTTTGTTTTGTTCCTCTCTATATTGATTTTCTTGTTTTCCTGTTTTATTTTTATCATTGTATTCGTATTTTTGATATTTCCTAGATTTACATTCAGAGTGATTATTTTTGAACGCATTACTTACTAATTGCTTAATTCATTCATTTCACTAAATCCAACATTTATATTTTTATGTTACCTATCAAATCTATTTGTTAGGGTTATATGAAAGATCTCTTTAACTGAATAATTTTAAATAATAATGTTTTGAGATAAAAAAAAAATTAAAAATTAATGTTGAATTTACTTAGGTTTATATTACTATTATTAGTATTATTTATTGCTAACTATAATTTAGTAGCTGAAGAATTATACTTTGTTATTATTAGCCAAACCAATAGTTAGGCCAAACATTTTTCAACTCTCTATTATTTACTYACCATCTAAAATCTTAAATTATAGATACTTACAAAGTATTATCAACAACAGGCTCTTCTTGTGTAGGTATTTGCAACATTGGTGTATGAATATTATTGTTGTTATGATTATCCTCTAGAAAAAAAACATGTTCTTATAATTATAATACACCTTTGATAGTTATTTCACAAATAGTATTGTAAGTTACTTAAATATTCATCTGAGCTTTTTTCAGTGCTTTTTGATTTAGGAAGTATAGGTATTTGCTTTTCTATAATTGATGGAATTTTAATATCATTATTTTTTGTTAAATGTATTTGTGTCTCTTCATATTTGTTCTGTAAAACATAACATCAATTTTATATTAATTGTGTAAAATAAACCATGTATATTATGAAAAGTATAAATAAAAAATAAAGAATACACAAATGTAGGTACCTGTATATACTCAGGATTGTCACATAGTTGTCCAAATAACTGATATATATATATATAAATAAATGTGAATTAATATTATTTTTATTTTATGATCCATTCGATTATTTACATTAAAACAATGTATTATAAATTACCTTCTGAAATATATTTTTTTTATCATCATCAATCTTCGCATGGCTTAATCGACAATTTTTTCCTGAATAACACTTGACACCAGTATGATAATATTTACAGGGAAAATCACTATGCATAAATGGACACTTATTATCTTTAATACAATAACTCGATAAATAATATTTGCAGAGCTTCATTTGGTGATCATTTGGTTTTTTATGAGCATAGGTACAATTATCTTCCTGTAAAATAAAATACCACCAATGAAGTATTATACAATTCATGATTGTAATACATTATTTATCAAATATTACCTTTAAACATTTTCCTCTAAGAAAATATTTACATATTTTTTTTCTGAAATGAGATTGTTCATTTTTCATGTCAGAACCAGTGATCATCCATTGATTTATATTTTTACTTCTGCTACTTCTATCCATATTGAAGCCATATAATTTTCTTTCTCTACTATTACATTTCTTAAAAGAGCAAAATTCTTCTTCATTTTCTATTAAAAATAATTATGTTAAGTAATGATTTAACACAAAATCTTAATGATTCAAAGATAAACAAATACATAAAAACATACAAAATTTCATTTTTACAAACATTAATATAACACAATTATCTTATAAAATGTGAATAAAATTCTTAAATTGTGCAATAAATGTACACAAACTTGACACTTGCATATTAATAATTTTAATTTGATAAAACTAAAACATAATTGCTATTTCAAAAATATTTTTATAATTTGTATCAAAAATTAAAATTAAATATATTTCATATATTAGCAAATGTTTGTTAACCACACATCTTTAAAATTTGATGGAATTAAAACAATAAATTAATCATATTGTAAGAAAAATAATAAAATAATAGTAATTTACCAAATTTTTGTGGAAATGACTCAAAGTTTGAAATATTGGGATTATTGTTTCCACTTGAATTTGACATTTCTTCATAATTGCCAGCTTCCATTGGTTCTATTGGTGTATCATAATGTATTTCTCTATTAAATAACCCCTGTGACGTGAAATAAATAATTAGAAAATAATAAAATAATAAAATGTGAATTGAATATAACTTTTAAAAGAATCGCTTACATTTTGATCGCCGTCATCAAATCTACTTTTTTTATACCAAAGCTTATCATTATCTATTTGATCTTCAACATCTTGTTTGATTATAGTCCTTTTATTTCTTGCAGTCCAGTTCTGTCCAGGCCTACTGTTATTAAATTTTGAGGTCGTAGGTAAAGGATCATGTATCGTTTTCTGATGAAACATGTCATGAGACCTCTACTCCATATAATTATTATAATACATAAACAATACAATTTATTTGTTTAATAATGAAATTATATATTAATATGTATTATAAATTATAGTTAATTGCATTGATATGTTGCTTACCACTTCCAATGGAGGTTCGGAATGTTTTTCTTTCAAACTTTCTATAAGAAGATTATCATTAGTTACTCGAATTTTTGTATTTTGTTCAGTTGATTCAAAATGTTCAGTATCAATTTCTTCATATATTTCTCCTTCCTCAAGATCTTCATTGACCTTGGTTTTGAAACCATTATTATGGCTATAATAATTAAAATATCTTTATTAAAGTTTTAAATTAAAAATTTATTTTATTTTAAATTAACATTTGATGTAACTTAACAGTTTAAAAACAGTATTGAGATCATATTAAGTCTAACATAGTATATAAGAATTTAGAATGTTATATTCATTAAAATTCATTAGATATATTGAAGAGAAATTAAATACTATGATGTACAGGTAGTACATTATATTTTAAAGCTTTTAAAATATATAATGAGTTAAAAAAAAAAAAACAAAAAAAATTGTATAGTGATAATAATATATTCAATACCATAAAATTGAATTTGTATTTATACAGTTTTGTATATTAACAAAAAGGCATACTTTAGATTTAATAATACAGTGCAAGCATATGCACTTGAACTCTTGAAAATATATTTTAGAGAAATAAAAATAATCATGTAGACATGGTAAAAAGTGAACCCTAAATTGTAGTAAAAATTGATTAATTACTTGCATTGTTGCATCTTCTTAATACCTATATCAAATAAAATCATAACAATATTAATTTTAATAGGCATACATACCAATTTGTTAAAGTTATAGGAATCATCRTACACGTCGATACTAGTTTAAGGCAACTACCGTAATAGATAAAATAATATYGGAATATAACAAATATCGGATTCAATCCGTCACAAATTCCATTATAATTAAATAAATCATTAGGCCAAAAATGCGAAGTGTGGTTGTAATTCACATTGATTTCACTATATTATTCCCGGTTACCTTTAAGAAATAAAAGCGTCTAGAGATAGCAATACACGCTTCTCAGAACCAAAGAACATGTAGAAACAACAGCTGTCAAAATCATGGCTGAAAAATATTTTAGTTGACCTTGAAATTTTTTCCAAGACAGCATGATGTTGTAACCGTATTCTCATTTAAAAATCTGTATCATGATCACGTTTCAACATCAAGCTGATCCTTCGCTGCCTACTTCATACCGATTCTCCCACAAAATGTAAGCAAATTTATCAGCTGTTTGATTGTCGCTCCCATCATTTAGGGCCATTCTTACAATGCTCGGTTAGTGCCTGATAACACTAACCGGAARAATTTATCATGAGTTAACCGATAGAATTCTACCGGTTAGTCTTAACCGACACTTAACCGGACATTGTAAGAACGGCCCTTAATCTTTTTTTTAATATACAAAACGAAAGTCTATTGCTTTTTTCGTCACTTAGAGAACCTATAGTCTCTTCCAAGAGAACCTATAGTCTCTTCCAAGAGATCCTTGGTGCGCGACCAATCGCAAGACTTCCTGGCGGCGGCCGAGTTATCGCTCTTTTTTCCCTTATCGGGTTTTTGTTTTTTTTTCGAAAATTATTTTACGTTTATTTTGCGGTGTTTGAGTGTTTTTTTTTGACTTTTTGGCCTTTATCCATTGCCATTTGTATTCTATTCGTGTAGTTCGTTTCTTTTGGAATCCTACCGTGTACGGTTTTCGCTCGAAATCGGTTCGCGTGCTTCACCGTCGCGTTTCGTTCGCGACATGGCCTTCGTACGTTTTCATTTTTTTTTCGATCTGTTTCTACTTTAAAAGCTCATTTTGTCTTTTTTTCATAAAGTCTATTTCTTTTAAAACCGTAGATGCGCGGTTTGTACGCCGATTTGGTTCGTATGCTTAGCAATCGCGTTTACAAACGAGTCGGTCTTCGTTATGACATTACGACATAGATTTGATACACATCTGTATACTGTGATAATATACTGTTTTTTGATTCAATAAATTCAACTAATTTCCAGTTCGTGTTCTTTTGTTCTTGGCAGCCAAACCTTTATATTTTAAGCTCACATCGACTGCGAATATTACGAAATCTTTATCTATTACGTTTGAATAACAGCTTGGTTTATTTAAAAATGATAAATATTTGGATACTGGCATTGTCGGAAGCAGATGGAATAAAAAAATCAACTCTAATCAGATCACTTTTTATAATCATTTAGACATCATGTATCCCATCAAATCCACAACAACTATGGGATAAACATAAGGAAAGTATAATTACATTATACCGAAAAAAAATTAAATGTTTGCGATGGTTTAGATTATAATATAGATAAAATCTTTTATGAAGCTCTTATAATTATAGAGAATAAATGTTTGTTAATCTGAAAACAATTTTGAACAATGAAAGGGGTGACCTCCCCACATCGATCCCAGAATACACAGAAATCTTACGTGAAATATCATATAAAATCACAATTCTGAATGCATACATCTATAATAATAAATCAATTTTTACGATCGATGATCATCATAAAAAAAGCTTTTGAAAATGGATCTTATTCAGAAAAAAAGTATTATTTTATTGAATTTAATATCAGCAAAGGTACAAAAAAAAAGGAAACGTTTCTTTGGCAGTAGCTTCCTCTGGGGTAGCAGCAACTTTTTATTACATGAAATATGTACTGTACATTCAGCATTGAAATTATCACTTAATTCCAACAGAACATAGAAGCCAACTTATAATATTATAGATAACCCATAATAACACGCGGGACACCAACTAATCAATTGATGCATGCTTAAATACATCGTATTTTTGGGAATATAGAGGGATAATTAAGTAAAATAAGAACATGAGGGTATTTTTAATAGGTGATCCAGTTTAGGAAAATTTCTCAAAACAATTACTATTTTTTGATGATGAAAAGTGACAAGAAGATTCAAATGGTACTATTGAATTTCCCTCAAATTTTTGCGATATGGTAAATTCAATTGAATCTTTGAAAATTCAGGTATTCCCGGAATTACAAAGAATTAGAATTATTCAAATCATGAATGGTTATGTGAAAGAGCCATACTTGCCAGAAAAATGATAGAGTAAATAATATTAATAAAAAGAGCTAGGATATAAATGCCCTTTCAATCTATGCATTTATGACCTAAAAACTCTAAAAAATATTACAAATTGCATTATTTATTAAATACATTTAAAATTATTGTGTACAAAAAAAAATATATATAAATTGCATTTGCATTACACTTTACTTTAGGCATTTTAATTTTAATATTTGTTACTTTCATACAAAAATAAAATGTGAATTAAATAACATTCGTAAAATACACTTACAGTACCTTTGACGCAATACGCAACACAATTAAAAGCGTCAGATAATCGGCCCTACACGAACCCACACGCACCGCTGATATAATATCGCTTAATACAATAATACGTATAATATTTTGTTTGTTTTATGCGATCAAATCGGCTAATTTTATGGTACGACATGAAGATAAATTCATCCTTGTCTAATTTAAAATTGAATGAACTAATGTGGTGAAAAATTCCCAAAATAGTATAATTCTGTTAAAATTCAAAAAATGTTGTGGTTAGATCACGGAGTACTTGAAATATATTGTAACTTGAAAAGCATCGTGTAAGATATTAAAAAAAAAAAAAGCCCGATTAATAAATAAATWATTATTATTTATTAAATTCTTAAAGGATAAAGTAAAACATAATATAAATCAATCGATACTGTATGGAATCCCGAAAATGCACTATGATACCCCTACGGATTTTTTWAGTTCTTAGGCAATAACAGGTTTACCTCTTCTCGTTTTAACCTTGAAATTGGAGCACCTATAATGCTTTAAGAAATATTAATCTAATTCAATTATTCAATGGATCCTATTTATGTATAATAACTTTAAACAATAACATAATAGAAGCAATAATGATAACTGGATGTAGAAAGAGTGAACATGAATCAGAATACCTATTGAACCCAAAGAAATTCAGTTCAAATTTGAAATATTACAATTACCAGAAAAACTTGCTGTTGTCTTCACTATGAATAAATCTTGAGACAAAACATAAAAAAACAGAGATTTTGCTTGATACACMGGGCTTCTCTCATGGTCAATTGTATGTGGCATGTTCAAGAAGTTAGGCGGACCCGCGGACCCATACATCTTACATCTACATTGTCAAAATAAAAGGCACATTGAATTGTTTCTTATTTCATTAATTCTATTGAATAAATAAAATTTTAACCTACTCTGTATATTAACTATGTAATATTATATAGATCGGATGTATATGAGCCATAAGCTTAATTAGGTAATGTTAAATTAATGATTCATTTATTATTATGAAGAAAAGGAAAATAAATATGTTTTGTGATAAATTATTTATTWTAATTATTCTGCCACTTTCGGGAAAAATAATATGAACATATATTATTGATATTGATATTAACTTCATTAAGTCATATAAAAATGCCCAATTTCAATAAACACAGAGAATGAACCAAAAATTACTTCAGACCTCTTGGAGATCCAAAAAGGCGCCTTTCATGATAACTATCAAAAAAATTAGAAAAATTGTAATAAAAATGTATAGCTATTATTAAATATATTTTTATATTTATATTTGTATAATAGCTGCAGTTCTTTGTATATTATACCTATGTTCTTCAAAAAATTTCAATCCTTAAGTTTTTAATGTGTATTTTTATGGATTATTAGTTATTACTTAATTTTATCTTTATATTTTTTTAATTTATGGTTAGTTGTGTCCTATGTTATAAACCTGTCTTCAAATCATATTTTTAGACCATTTGGAATAAAAAAAAAAATGAAGTACCCTACTTGCTTCGTATATTTTTTTTTACAGATAAACTGAAATTGTGATTGATACTATGTTGCCTATGATAATGTTATTCTTCTTCTTATTATTACTACTATAAACACTCGCATGAAAGATTATTATTACTACTATAAACACTCGCATGAAAGATTATTATTACTACTATAAACACTCGCATGAAAGATTATTGTTACTTCCTGGTGAAACAGAAAGATATCCTGGGTGATCCTGATGTTGTTAGTAGCCTTTCTATAATATCACATAATATCTATGTTAAATTTAAATTTGAATCGGACACATACTTTCCAAGATGATTCAGGCCAAAAAATGCGACATTTAATTTTATTTAGATAGAAAATGGATACCTAGAGATATATAGATAATAGAAAAAGAAAATACATTTATTTAAGGTACATATTACATTTTATTTAGATCAAAAAAAAAAAATTATAAAATAAACATAAACATTTTGTACCTACTTTTAATAAGCTTTTAACATAGTAATAATAATAATAATTAACTATATAAGATAGGGATGATTTGAAATGAATTATTATATTCTCTTCATCGGACTAAGCMAAAATTGTATTAAATAGTAAACCTTTAAAGTATATAAAGTAAGTTAAACAGTATGTTTAAAATACATCAAACATTKAAAATGATAATTGTTTGTAGAAAAATGCAATATTGTTGGAAGAGAAATGTATTTTATTTTGTTTTCTATCAATATTGAAATGACAAAGAATGGATAAAAAAAAGAACCTGGTTACTGTATGCCCCTGTATCTTAACTTTTATTGATGGCATTAAATTTATTGGAAAAATATCTATATGAAATAATACAGTATTTGTTGTGTRCATTTTAATTTTAATAATAACATTCACATTTTACTTTGTTAGTTATAATAAGATAACTAAAATAAAAAAATAAAATTAGGGACATTGCTGTTGAAAATACTTAAAAAAGTATTTAACTTATTACTCAAATACTTTTAAAATAAAGTTTTTAAAATTAAAATACCATCCAAATAGTATTTATAGTAAATTATTTGAAATAATCTTCAAACAGAAAAAAAAATTCTATTAAGTTCTGAAATATTTTATATTAATCAAAAATTAATTTAATGCATTTTAAAAACATGATTTTTTCAATAATCAAAATGCTGATGTTAGTGTTTTTTTTT